CCCCGACGCTCGCACACACGCACATATATATATAAATATATACACATCTATATAGATGTATATCTAAACACAACTATAGTGACAAAAACAGAATAAACTCAGTGGCCAGAGTTGAAACACGAAAAGAGACACACACACAGAGAGAGATTCTTTCCAACGAGGAAAACGAGAATGAAGAGTCATGATTCGTCCTCTGTGTCGAAGGAGGGGTTCCGCACAAGCGGCCTCCCGGCAGCCGTCCAGCCAGACGAAACGCTAGTGCAGCTACTCCCCTGCCTGCGGCGGGCAGGCTCATTGCCCTCACGTGCTTGCTCCTGCTGCATTAGTAGAATCTCCTCCATTGTCAACTGCACATAGCTGCTGCCATCCATGGATGAATATGTGGGTGGGCTCGATGAATCGGTGTTGTCATGAGGCATTGCTTTCATCTGACCCCGCGGCACGGAGGAGTCCAGTGAACCACAGCTGTTCACCGCCGTGATGCAGGCACTGGTGCATGCACAGTTGTCGTCGTCTTCACTGCTAGTGCACGTCGGCGCAATGTCAAACAAAAGGAGGACGGCCGCCTCCGCCAGTGCATCAAGTATCTGTACAGCGAACATACGCCCCCTTGGTTGTTTGAGTTGTTCCTTCCTTTTTGCCTCTCCACTTCAATTAAACAACTTTTTGCCTCTTGCTTTCACACAAAAGAAGCCCCGCGAGAACTGTTCTGCCTTTGCGGCGAACTCTATATGGGCGGCAGTGCGGTATGGTGTGCAGCACTCAGTTTATAGCTCCAAGTTGAAGCCACCTAAGAGAAAACCGGGAAAAAGGACAAATAATAATAATAATAATAATAATAATAATAACGAAAGTGAGGCAGTTAAGCGACGACAACACGGGCACGGTAAACCTTACCACGAGAAGAAAGCAAGGTAAAACGGATACGGCCCGCACTTCCATCAGCACACCAGTGTATGAGCCTACGCCTCAACGGGAGCTGGCCCGGCAGACGCATCAACGTTACGTCGTTGCTCCACAACTTCTTCCATTACCTTCAGCAGTCGTCTGTGCTGCGGAATCATCAGCTTATTCTCCGCCGCATTGAGGATAGCGAGGCGATTGGAGGTGAGTTCCCGCTCAATGGCCTTCAGTCGGCCCATCGAAACCATCATCCCACATTCGTCAAAGTGCTGTTGATGCAGACTCATTGGAATAAAGACATTCTCACCAGATGTCTCCTGGCGTTCAATCATGCATCGCAGCAGCTCGCTGAATGTAGCGGGGAGACTAAAAAGAACGCGGCGAATGGTATCATGAAGTGGCAACGTGGCACCCGCTGCTAGAGCGCCACCACGGCTGGTGTAGCGACTGAACTTTCCGCCGCCCGCCATAGAAGCCTCCAGCTCCGTGAGCAGCGACATGCTCTTGACGGGCGCCATCTCGTGCACTCGCGGGAGCAGCAAGGAGCGCAGGTGGACATACGCGACGCGAAAAGGGTCCAGCAGACCGGCGCCGCTCGCCACCGGCCAGTTGGGGTCATCGAAGGAACAAAGCAACACAACGTGGTGTGGATGCTCCCGCGCAATGGCCTGCAACTCCAGCAGCAGCGGGGGGTCAAGTTGATCCACGCCGTGCACAACGAGGAGCATAGGGCGCCTCTGGCCGAACGACGACAGCGACGCGGTATGCGCCGAGCCTGAGACGAGGCCCTGCGCGGTGGGCGACGGCAGCGACATCCAACCTATGCATGCACGCATCGGCGCACGGCACGCAAGGCGAAGCGAGCGCAGCAGGTCGGGGGAAGAAACGGTAAAGCGAGGCGGCCGTGGGCGCCTGTCATGCATCGTGGAAACCGCTGCTGTATCATCGTCGCCTTCGTCACGGTGACGCTTGGCGCCGTGTAAACCACGCAGTGGCACGTCGTAGTTCCAGTCTGAGTGCTCACGCAGCCAGTGCCGCCGTGACCATGCGCGCGCTTTCTCATCAACCTCTTCGTGGTGGTGGGAAAGAGGCGGTTCCATTTCAGCTTTCTCTCTTTTATCTTGTGAAGGCGGCAGCAGGCGCTGCTGTTCCTGACCCAACACGGTCCGTCGCTGCACCTCCGCATCGGTCTCTCCCCCTCGAACAAGGAGCATAGAGTGTTCACGTTGCTTGACGGCACATGGAGCCGGGGAGAAGAGTGGCACGCCTCCCTTTTCCTCACGCGGTGGCGGAGTGGCCAGCTGCAAATTCATTAAAACAGCAAAGCCGTCAGCCGTTGCGTTATCCGCGCAACGCCTCCGTGAGAGGCTCCTCCCTTCCTCTTTTGCTCGACTCCGCAAAGGGGTGCGGTACGACTGGCTTCGCGGGGAATCCGTGGGGGAAGCGTCCACGATGTAAAGCTCCCGCTCCTCTTCCTGCTGCTCGTTCTCGCGTGGAGGAGCCTCAGAGCGGCGATCCACTCCGAGTGAATCGCGATGAGACTGGTGGAAAAAAAAGCTCCGCAGGAGCTCCCGCTCAGCCTTCTCCCGCCTCTCCCGCAGCTGTTTTGCTATATCACGCAACTGGCGTGCGATGTGATTAGGGGCCGCGCGGTATCCATCCACGACTGCGGCCCCGTAGTGTCTCAACTCCGCAGACTGCGAAACGTGCTGAAGGAAGAAGTATTTGGAGGCGATACCATAAACGGCAACAGAGCGGCCGTGGAGCAGATAGTCGACGGTCAGAAGCAGCTCTTCACATCTTAACCCGTCAGACCAAGTCATGCACACATCATCCTCTTCACCAGGAGCCTGCGCTGCCGTCATCGTTTCCTTGCGTGGCTGCAGCGTGCAGCCATCACTGTCATTGTTCTTCTTATTTTTGTTCCTCTCGTCGAAGTTGGCGTCGCACAGCACGCCGACCACTTCCTCGCTGGGCTGTGCCGCTGGTGGAGGGGACACATTCACCGCATCGATTGTTGTACTTCTTGCGAACCACCGCGCACTGAGCAGCTCCCGCAGCGGGTCACTCGTGGCGACGCGGTGCAGCACCTCCACGACGAGAAGCGGCCGCACAACACTTCGGGGGAACTCCTTCCCAGCTGTGAGCTGCCCCTCCCGCACAAGCTGCTTCTGCGGCTGCTCCCCCGCTGTGCTTGGCTCAACATCTGCCGTGGTCCCCTGTAGCTTCAGTGTGGCTTTACGGAAGATATCATCCGTGAGGTACAGTGCGAGCGCGTGCACGTTGTGGAGCCCATACGCCCCGTACGGAACAGCAACGCGGAACCGCCGCGGCGGGATGCCCGGCAGCGACGGCGGGCAGCGCATTTTTTGCAGAGGGGAGACCGTTTCCTCAGCGCCCAGCACGGGCTGCGCCTGCTGCACGCGGCGGTTAACGGCGCACCACACGCAGGACTGCTCCATGCGGGGGTTCTGCACGGAGAAAACGAAGCTGCTGCCCTCCTCGCAGAATGGCCCGCGATGCACCGCGTCACTGCCGGCCGAATCACACGCAGCGTCATCACCGCCGCCACTCTCGCTGCTGCTCTGGTGGTGGTGGTCGGCAAAGGTGCGCGACGGTGGATCAGCTCCGTGGAAGCGCGCAACGAGCGGTGCCTTCGAGAGGGCGCGTTTGTCCCTCTGCTCCTTCATCGTGTAGTACCGCTGCGTCACGTCCATATCGTACGATGCGTTGTGGCCGCGCTGAAGCCGTCGCGCCGGCCTCGGCCCCTCGCACGTCCACTCGTGCACCGGCACAGTCTCGCGCACCAACGCCCCACTGCGGCACAAGAAGCAGCGCGGCCAACTGAAGCCCTCGCCCGTCGCTACACCTTGCGGCGTACCGTCGTCGTCATCATTCTCAGCCGCACGGAGCGTGGTGGAGCCTCTTGGAACAGCAGGATTGCCAGTGGCGCCTGATTCACGTGATGCGAGAAGAAGTCCAGTGGGTATTGCATTGTAGCAGCGAGCGCACACGGTGTAAGCGCAGTACGTGCAGTGGTAGGCTTCTACTGCGCGGTAGCGGGGCAGGCCATGGCTCTCTTCGCACGGTGTCCATGGCATCTCCTGCAGCGCTGCGAGCCATTCATCCCGCCTCATGGAGGCAACGCTGACGTATATCACACTTTCCCGCCAGCCGCTACACTATCCTTTTTTTTTCCTTTGGCCCGCCAGTGGATGTGTGGGTGTGCCGCTGCGTACCTGGCCCTTTCCGTATCTGTGTGTTTGTTCGTTTCGCATTGTTTGGATGAGGAGCAAGACAACAGAGTTACACGCACCAAGCTGCTGCTCCGTCCCCGCACATCCAACAGCAGCCGTACCACTGGTGGTAAGAGCCACAAGCCTGGAGCCGCTCAACAATTACCATCACATAAACACAAGCGCATGTATACGCAATTGCACACACACACACACACAGAGAGAGAGAGAGAAACAGAGAACAAAAAAAAAAACTAAGCTAATTGGCCAAATTCCTTATTGAGAATATAGCACCCAACCATCAATCTGCCTCTCAAGCAGCGAGATAGAGCGAGAGGCAACACGTCAAAGACAGTAGAGAAGGCGTCACCCTACTGCGCCGCCATGTTGCGCTTTCTTATCGCTACTTCTCCATCGCCCACTACCACCACCACCAGAACCATCACTACCACCACCACCACCACCACCACCAACAGCATGCCCATCCAGTTGGTGCACACACCCGCGCCCTAACACAGCGACACCCAAGAAGGTGTCCAGTTCGATGCACAGCTGTAGTCTTCGGTTCCTTTTAGCCTTTTTTTCCCTTTTTAAACAAGCATCAGGCCGCCTCACCAAGTCGGTGCGTCATCTGCGCGGCCGCATCAAAATTCGGCACAGCGCTAGCAGAGCCAATGTACGACACTGTGGGCACCGTAGCGCCGATGTACTTCGCCAGCGTATCGCGGAACATGGCCGGCGTCACCGCGTCAACGTGCTCGAAGACCTCGCGGATGGGCACGCGGCGGCCGAAGTGAATCATCTGCCGCCCCAAGTCCTCCGCGCTGTTCGTTGTGCTATCCCGCATCATCATGACGGAACTTTTAAACTCGCTCTTCGCCTCCTCCAACAATGCTGCGTCAACGGCAGTGGTCGCCAACTCGTTGAATGTACGCAGCATGTGGTCTAGGAGCACATTTTGGCTCTCATCCCGGTTAGAGACGCCCATCTCGGCGGCTGGCATGCGGGCAGTGATGAGTTGGTAGCCAAGCAGACTGGTCTCCTCGTACGGGGTGTAGAAGGGTCGCAGCTGCACAATCCTCTGCAACCGCTCCCATGGCAGCTTTGGATTCAGTCGCTGGTAGGCGAAATGATCGCACTGCCCCTCGCGCAGTTGTCCAATGACGTTATGCACCAGCTGCAGCGCGTAGCTGTCGGTGTGTGAGGCGCCACAGATGGGGTACGCGAAGGCGGTGTTGGCCGTCGCCATCTGCTCGTTCCACATGACGGTGAAGCCGCCACGGTACTGCGCCTGCAGCGGCGGGCGGTTATTCGTCGCGGGGAGGTCGCCGAAGAACTTCTCCGCAAGGAGGTGCGCCTCCTCCGGGCGGATGCAGCCGGAACTGACGAAAGACATGCGCGGGCCGGTGTAGTGCACGCGCACAAAGTCTCGGATCATGTCGCGGTTGATGTTGCGCGCGATGTTGTCAACGGGGCCGAGGATGGTAAGCGGCAGCCCGCTAGACGCCGGGTCGTACGCGGCCTGGTGCAAGTTGTCCATCAGCACCTCGTCGACAAGCTCCTCCACCTCTCGCATCTCGGCGAGGATCGTCGGCCGCTCCAGCTCGAGGTCGCGTGGGTCATAGCGGCTGTTCTTCAGCAGGTCCGACACGACGTCGAGCATCTGCTCCACGTTCTCGCGAAAGGCCTTCACGTAGTACGCGGTGCGGTCGCGCGAGGTGTACGCATTGAAGTGCGCACCGCTGTGCTCGAAGAGGCCCTCCACCGCCCGCTTAGAGTACTTCGCCGTCCCCTTGAAGTTCATGTGCTCAAGGAAGTGTGCCACACCGTTGTTCTGCAGGTCCTCAAAGCGGCTTCCGGCGTCGATCCACACGCCGACAGTGGCGAACTGGCAGTTGGGGAAGTACTCCGTCGCCACACGGCACCCGTTCGGCAACGACGTGTACACAACGGGCGTGCAGTGATCGAGCGCGGCGGCGCAGAGTGGGTTCCGCACCGTGCAGTTGGCAGTCGGAACACAGCGGCGAAAGGAGCAGCGAAGCATTTGAGCAGCGCTAATGTAAAAAAGGATATGGGTCTTGCGAGATTATATATATATATATATATATATATATGTGCGTGTGTGTGGTTCTCTTTTTCGGTATGCGTGGACCTGGGAGTATGTACCTGAGTGTGTGTGTGTGTGTGTGTGTGGAATACCCAATTAGGCAGCTCCCCGTGCCCACACTATTCCCACTGCAAAGTGCTGCTGCCAGCAGACGATAAGCGCACGCGGCAAGTGAGAACAAAAGACAGATATCAGAACGAAAAAAAATGGCACTTGAAGCAGCAGCCACAAACAGCAGCATGAAGCGAATTGCGGCCATTAAGTAGGCGTCGCGGGTCGGGTGTATCAGAGCACAAACAGAGAGACACTCACCAGTCTACACCATCACGTCAATGAATGGCCGTCACACAGCCCGAAGTTCCTTCAGCCGCTGCAGTTGCTGCTGCAGCGCTGGCAACTCCACGTCGTCGGCGGCCTCGTCGAACCAGCGGGCCACGTCAACCACAGTCTCCCGCCAGTCTGTCGCGTCACCACCCGCCTTTTCACGCTCTCCCCACGCGTCGAGAGACTTGTAGTGTAGCAAAAGAGACTCTAGGTCATTGCGGAGGGCACTTCGACGCAAGCGCTCTTCGTCGGCGCGTTGAAATGCGCGGAGACGGTCACGAGCGGCTGTTGCCTCGGTTTTGTCAATGTTTGCGCCCGCCGACACCGACGCCGCTGCGAGCTGCAGTGGGAAACTGCGCACAAAGCGTCTTGCGCCTTCGTTGCCGCTGGTGGGTGTGGTAGTAGACGTAGAAGCAGCGGCACCTTCCCCGTTTCTTGTCTTCTTGTCGACCTGATTGTCCCTTTTTATTTCCTCCCTCTTCTCATCCTCATCCTCCGCCTCCTCCTCTTCCTCCTCCACGGCCTTATGTTGCCCTTGTTGTTGTTGTTGTTGTTGATCTTCACCAGCATCCTCCTTTTCTTGTGGCTGCTCTTGCGTGGCGTCTTCCTCAACGCCCTCGCCGCCACCTTGGTAGGCTGCCTCGTGTGTGGTGTTATCTTCCGTCGCAGAAGCAGCGGCGGTGGTCCTGTTGGTGGCGTCACCCTCCACTGGCGTCGCTGTCTCCTTCATGTACATGGCTCGGAGGTACGCGTTGGATACGAAAGGGATGCCGCTATCTGAGAGCGTCACCTCCACAACCACTTCTGTGCGCTCGAGGGAGGTGACTCCCCTTGTGCCCTTCGCCTCAGCGCCACTGTCGTTGGTGGCAGAAGCAGCAAAAGCAGTAGTAGAAGTTATGCGATTCGGCAGCTGCTGTGCCGTTAGCAAACGCTTCCCCACCCCAGCGATGCTCACTGCTCGCGCGAACCGACCACTGCTGTCATGCAGCGTCAGCGTGAAGTCGGAGGTGCGGTTCGGAAAGCGGAGCGAATGCAGCGCCGGCACAAGCGTTGTCCCCTTCGCAAACACAAGATGCCGCGCACCTTCCGCTCCCTCTGCCGCATTCAGCGGTGGTGTAACGGAGAAGTACACGTTGTTGGTCAGCGGCTCCTCCACGCGTACACTCTCCGCGTTAATATTAGCACGTGCAGCGCTCATGTGCGTGGCACCCGTGACGGTTGCCTCGTCACTGTTGAGTCTGCGGTCCGCTGCCCTGCCGTAACCGTCACTGAGGCGCTGCAGCAACTTCGGCATCCGCGCAGCCCCACCCACCAGCTCGAAGCGCAGCAGGTCCTGCACAGACGTTACCTCCCCCTTCGTCCGTGCAATCGCCCGGTCACGCACACGCACCGCCTCGTCGAAGAGATGGGCGCACTCCTGCTCGAAAGTCGCACGCAAAATGGTTGCGGTGAAGTCGCCCACGCCACTCTCACCAACACCCTGCACAATCAACGGGGCCTCCTGATTCACTGAGAGCCGCTCTCGCGCGTTGTTCGCCGCGCGCAGCAGACTCACTGCCGCCTTCCGCGCAGCAGCGGTGCGTTTGCCGAGGACCGGGGCGATGGGCTTTGGCTGCGCCCTCGGGAACAGCTCCCGCTCTGCGTAGCGGGCGATGCAGAGGTCAAAGGCGCGTCCGCCAAGTGTGACGTTCACCGCTGCCGACACCAGCGTGACGGTGCCCAGGTGCTTGCGCGCTGGAGTGAAGCGGTACACCGCGGCCTCCGTGTGGCGGCTACCCATGTCGTACACCATCACGTACCGGGCGTCCCTCTCGCCCCCCGGTGCGAACAGCTGCTCCGCACTGAGGAGCGCCAGCTGCACCGCCGCTGCTGTCGTGCTGTGCACCACCCGTACTGTGCGCAGCCCCGCAACCGCCGCGGCGTCTACAATGGACTGGCGGTATGCGAGCGGCGCGACAAGCGGAACCGTCACGGCGAGGTGGCGCACCGGCTCGCCGTCGAGGCCGCGCTCCGCCATACGCTTCAGGTAGCCCAAGAACATGCCGATCAGCTCTTCCACCGAGAACTCCAATGCCCTTTCCTTGTCCTTGCTGTCAACAACGCGCACAGACAAGGAGTCGCCGGAACGTCCCGGTACCAAAGCAAAAGAGAGTGCTGCAACATCTTCAGCAGATAGCAGATTCTCTTCCCTTTCTTCATCGGTATCTGCTGCTGCTGCTGCTGCTGATTCTGTTTCCGTTGCTTTTCCTGCAGACACATTATTGCCCTCCTGCTGATTTGCATCCCGCTGTAGACCGCGCCCTGCGAGCAGTGACGCCCCACAGACGACTTGTTGAGGGAAACGTGGCTCGAGCACCTGCGCCTCTTCCGCGAAGACACGCTCCACACTCTGCAGGGTGTCGTTGCCGTGGTGGGGCATAAAGCGAAATGCAACACATTGCGGGCTCTTTCTGTTAGCCTGGTCATTAAGAACGATGTTGGCTCGCATGAGTGCCCCGCTGCCGCCGCCGAGTGTAGCCGCCTTCGCCCAGTCCGACCCAAGGTCCACCGCCAAGACGTGGCGCCCCTCCGCACACGGAACACGCGCCACCAGCTGCGACGCGAACAGCAACAGCACCAGCACAGCGTAGACCGCGGCTCGGGTGCTGAAGCCGGCAATAGCGCCACCGCCACCACCGCGCACCGTGTGCGGCGCCCTCGTTAAGCCGACAGTCCCCATGCAGAGATATATAGATATATTTATATATTCTACGGCGTATCAATCTTCTCGCACACGCTGCGACGTTGCACCACGCGTAGAGAAACACCACAAAGAGAGCGAGAGAAAAAGAAAACACAAAATCGCCCCACCTGAGCAGCACTGCGAATAACAGAAGCAACATAATTTTTTTTTTTAAAAAAACGAGTGAATCAAGCAGTCGGGAGGGGGGAACAACAAAGATCGGTGTCGTGATACCACTAACAAAAATTGCGGTAGTGAAGTAGGGAAGTGCGTACACTCTGGACTTCTTCTTTGAAGGATGCCGGCACTGTTGTGGGGAAGTGGCGGCAACGCACCCGCACCACATGGAAGCAGCGTGAGAAAGAAGATGGAAAGAACGACGTGGCGCAGGGCAATGAAATAGTTCTTGGGGGCGAAGCATATATGAGAAGGAAAACAATTAAAAAAATCGATTTTTTTTAACTAAAATGTACAGCGGGAACTATCCACCAACACATTCTCTTCATTCGTACTCACACCCCCATCCTTTTCCCTTTTCCTTTTTTTTTGTTCTCTTTTCTTTTTTTTGCCACGCCTCCGTGCGGAAGAGAAACAATCCTTCCTCCGCCGTGTTAGGTCTCCGCACAATACAACAAAAAGAAGCCCACAGGACACAGAACAGAAAGGGGAACTAAGCAAAGCAAAANCAAAAAAAACCTACACAAAGAAGCTTGAAACACTTATGAGTCTTTGACTGAACTACTACTCTCTTGGGGCGCAGTTGCACCTAAGGGTGTCGCGGTGGCACCGGTGGAGCCTACAAAACAAATGTGGATTATGTGCTCCAGCCCTCGGCGGTACCTCTCCGCGATCCGAAGTCGCCTGGCATGCTCCTCCTCGCGAAACTCCAGGCACCACCGAGCGTCCACCATCTTCTGCGAAGACAACATCTTCTGCCCCGCCGTGCCACTGCTTGCGCCGTTATTGTTGTGCCTGCTGCTGCTGCTGCTACCGGCATCCCTCCGTATCGATGATGCAGGACTGAGCGATGACAATGGCGCGCTTTGAGTATACTCGCGGTCCAGCGCAGCAGCTCTTTTCGGTATGTTTTTGTTTTTTGCCTCATCTAGGGAGTCAACCTCATCATTGGTAACGCTCCCATTTTTGTTCCTATTGGCATTTTCATTCATCTCGCCAACAACAACGTCACCTCCATCGCCAGAAACAGCCTTTATGTTGTTGCTGCTGCTATTCACGCTACTAGTGCCTCCCAAAGCGTCGAGCCGGCCATTCACTGCGGCACTCTCTCGGTGGCCCACCACTGATGATGACGAGGATGGTGGTGGTGCTGGCACCGTCGCTTCCTCCGACAGCGCTGTTGCAGCGGTGCTCCCTGCCACCGACGTCCCCGGCGTGTCGTCGACGCGCGACGGGGGGCCGTTCTTTGCCAGCGTCGGCGGCTCCCCCTCCTCATACCCAACAACGGGTGGCGAGCTAGTCAAAACCGTCTGCGTTGCACATGGCGTAGATGACGGCGGCGGCGGCGGCCAATCCTGCCTCTCGGGTGTGCAAGAACTCTTGCCGCTCAGCATCGTTAAGCTCCTCTTCGCGCTCTCCGCACTTTCTTCGCGCCCGGGTGCGAAAAGCTCCCCTGACGGTCTGCCGCGAAGAGCGAGCATGAGTATCTTGTCCATCACACGATTCGCGTTTGTCTGAATCCCGTGCCGCAGGGACATCTCTTGGTGGCTAATGAGGGCGCGGGAGGCGGCCTCCTCCTCCTCCAGCTTTCCACAGCTGAAGAACAGCGCCATCCCCTGGGACAGCGAGGAGCGGGACGGTTGCGTGCCCCTGCCGCTGCCGCCCACAGCGCCCAACGCGCGCAGCGTAGGCGGCCAATGCGCGGACTGCCGTCGGGAGGAGTAGTCGGAGAAAACGTCGGGGGACAGGTGCGCCACGGAGGCAGGCGAGCGCTGTGACCGGGTGTCAGCATCGCCAAAGGACATCTCGCCGTCGTCGCCGAGGGGATACGACACAGCCGACGCTGTCCCACTGAATTGGGCGGTGTCTGCTATAGTTGGCCGCGCGGCGTTAGGCTCCTCACTCGGTGTCAGACGGCGTTTGGCCTCCGATGGTACCGACGCCTCGGACCCGGGAACGGGGCGCGCCTGCAACCGCAGAGCAGGGTATGCAGGACTCGGGGACGACGATGCCCCTATTGGCCTTGCCGTCCTTCCATCCGTTTCTTTTCTTACTGGATGTTGGGCACCGCCACTCTCTTGGTAATTGTGTTGCAAAATCCGTCGCCACCATGCATGGAAGTATCGCGACCGCAGAGAGGCCTCAGGCAGCCGCTGCAGAACAGAGCAAAGGATGGAATACGTCCATTTCTCTGATCTGCACGCATCGGTGTCCAACTGCTGAGAATCCTTCATTTCCTCATCGGTTGCAACACTCGCAGCACTCCATTCACCGATGGAAGCCTCATCGCAGGGTCGTAAAGAATGGCCATGGCTGCTTGCCTCCGCGTGGCTGGACGTTGGTTTCTGAGATAAATTGCCTGAAAGCCCAGGCGTCACAAGACGAGCGGTTTCCTTGTTGCGCTTCCAGTAGTCCACTACACTTTGCTTAAAAGAGAGTTTTGGCTCGCTTGGCTCGGGAGCCTCCTTTGGAAATGTATAGACGGGAGGCGATGGAGCGGATGCGTGCAACTCTCCGGATTCCCTCTCGCCACAAGATAAATTATCCGTAGCTACAGGCATGTCAGGCGTCAATCTCCTGGCGAAGCCCCGCCACAATGAAGTGGCAGCGCATCCGCCGCTTGACTCACCCTGAGTAACCGGGAAAGTGACTCGCCGCTGGGTCGAAAGAATGGGCAAAGCACGTTGAATGGCGGTGTCACGGGCCAGTCCACGGCGGTGGTTGTCACCCGGCTCGGAGAAGAAGCGCGTGCCTCCGTTCAGTGGGCTGCCAGCGGAGTGTTCTGCACGCCCCGCATCCATGGCGGCTCAGTCACCTCCAAAAGTGGGAGAACAAGGCTGGCGTATTGGACCGACAAGAAGTATTCGCACTATCTCAACCTTTCCGCGCCTGTGAATTCCTGGGGGTTGGGAAATATATGTGTGCTCTTCGCTCCTTGTTATGCTGTTAGCCTTTCTTATCGCTGAAGTTTCCGTTGCTGTTGTGCCCCTTTAGCAAAGAGGTTGTCTTTTTTTACTCCTTTTCTGGTGGGGAAGAGCGTGTGTGTGTGTGTGTGTGAGAGAAAGATATAAAGGGGAAAAAACCAAGGGTTAAAACAAAAGAACGGGTGGCAATCGAAGAAAAGGAAATAAAAATAATAATAATAATAACAATAATAGCGGGCTTACCATCGGATCCAGATTGAGACGCATTCAAGCCATCACTCTCTCTTCATCACCGGGAAATGCCCACAGCCCTGGAACAAATCAGCAGAAACTGCTCGCCTCCACCACTGACTCAGTGGGGAAGCCCAACGCCGCGTACGTCCCCCACGCCTGCTCCATCAGCAGCATGGTGTGGAGGTGAATCAGCTCATGCGCCAGGCGCTGCAGCGCCAGCTCCACAAGCAAACGCGTCTGCTCCGCAGTATCCACCGCATCGAGGTCTGAGCCAGTGCACGATGCATTAGACGATGCGACTACATGCTTCTCGGACAGCACAGTGGCTAGTTCGTACACAACCTGTCGAATAACGGTCGCCTTTTCATTCTTTGTCGCTGCCACAGTGGGCACGCCCACAAGTTTCTGCAAAGACGCTACACCTAATAGGTCAAACATCATCTCCAGGTTCTTGCGTCCCCAACAACGCTGCTGTATTCGTGTCGTGGGCTCTGGTGCCATTGGTGGCAGGAGCACACTAATCTGCCGGCTGATGTACGCACGGAACGTCCTCTCCCCGACATTCGCCGCAGGGCTACCACCGGGTGAAGGAAACAGAGAGTGGAAGAGCAAAGGTCTGCTGGATACCCCATCGGAGCCTTTATCTGAGGCACTATTGCAACTCTCGATGGTGGCGGTCTGGGTCGTGCACAAGACACGCAGGATTGCCGCCAGCTCGGCTCGCCGCACTACCGCCTCCCTCTCAAAGACGTAACAGGTGCTCATATCCACCAAGGCAGGATCATCAGCATCAACAGAAATAGGAGAGTGGGCAAGAAATGGGTGAGGCCGCGGTGTTTCCATCACAGAGGCGGGCAAGTCATTTTGCGCCTGCTGCAGCACCGCGGTAGCATCCCAGCGGCGAGGCTGAATTGCAATGAGGCGAACGGCCGCCTGTCGCGTCACGTGGTCCCACCAGGCGCAATGCCGAATCGCCACCTCTACAGGCTCGTGGCATAGGTGGCAGTAGTTGTCTGGGGTGACGAAAGCGAGTTTCGAATCATTCGGCGGGTCGTACATGTAGCCACAGCTACGCGCGGAAAAGACATAGCGCGGCCACTGAGGGCTTCCTTCCGGCATCTGCGCAGGCCTACGCGACCTCGAGTTCCTCCCCCCCGCCAGATGCCGAAGATTGTGGCGGAGCCAACCAAGCTGTCTGTCACTTCTCTCCCCCGTACTACTGCTGCCGTCGCCCTCACCCACTGTGGAAATAGGAGCGTTGACGTCCACATTAACGATAGGAAACCGCCTCGACGAGGCTGGCGACGAGGAGTTGGAAGAGCAAGAGGGCGCGGCAGGAAACAGCACGTGGAATGGAGGCAGCCGCGACTGTCGATGCACAGCCGTGGTCCTGCAGCTCACGCCACGCGGCATCAGCGGTGCCGTTGGGTTCTTTCGCCTTTCAATGTATACCAAAGTTCCCACCCCTCGAAAGGAAAAGGAGAAAAAGGCAAAGTACTGATTCATCAGCCAAAGTAAAGTATCCAAACTGGAAGGAATCTGTGAACAGTTAAGAGCACAACCAGTGAACGATGAAAACTGAAAAGTAGACATTGTGTGGCATTACATTCCATGTCACCGACATGACATTTGCTTCACACGCTGTTCTCTTTTTTTTTGTTTTCGTTTCTTTGTATTCTTTCAAAGTATGTGTGTTCTCCGTACATAACGCAATCGCCAGTGTGCGTATCCGTGTGTCGTCCACCACTCTCTCCTTCTCTCTCTCTCCCTCTCGACCCCGCTCCTTTGTTCAGCCCCTTCACGCCAGTTATATGCGTCCACTGTCTTCTTCGGGAACGAGTGATGGTGCGTGCGACCACCCACTCGGGCTTCTGCTCTTTGTTTTCGCTTTGCTCCTCTGCGCAAAGGCCTGCAGCCGCCGGCGACAGGCCGCACTGTTGCGCAGGGAGAGAATCATCGGGCTTGGGGCACGAAAGCCACCCGCTGTTGCCGGCAATGCCCCGTCGTCGTCGCCAGCGCCCGCACCACCCGCAGCAGCGCCGGCCCCACCGTCCTCGCGTACAGCCGTGTTGCTGCGGC